TGTGCTGCTCTGCATTGGACCCAGCTGAGTATGGACTGAAACCTCCAGTAACTGTGAGCTAAATAAACCTTTCCTTCCTTCATTTTGAGTGTCGGGTATTTGTCCCAGCAAGGAGAGAAGAGTAACTAAGACACTGTGCAACTATAATAGCTATCCCCTTTAGTCCTCATGGTTGCCAACTATAATAGCTATCCCCCTGTAGTACAGGTATAACTGTAGTACTTATCACCCTTAGTCCTTACAGGTACAACTATAATAGCTACTATCCCCTTGGTACTTACAGGTGCCTTTCATGCAAGTCATTGTTGAGGAACACAACTCAATGACCCGAACAGCAAAAGTTTGCGGTTCCTCTCCTGGTACTGTCAAAATGGAAATCTAAAATCCAGAAAAGAATAAACAAAATTGTTAGACTTCACATTAATTTTTCTATCATTAGGGTACTAACTTTTAAACTACTGCTGGTATTTGAAAAGAATGTGCCTTGCCTTCATATTTACTTTCCACAGTTTTTATATTTTATATCAGATATATTGTATTTATAATTGTCTGACATAAAATGTGTGAAATCTTCAATATTTATTAAATTCAAATCTATTTTCAGAGAATGTAATGCATTAATTCTAAAATAGATGCACTTTGGTGTTTAAAAATCAGGCAATATGAATTCACATTTGATTATTTATTTATTTATTATTATTATTATTTTTTTTTTGCGGAACCGGGGATTGAACTCAAGCCCTTGCAGTTGCCAGGGAAGTGCTTATTCCACTGAACCATCTCCCCGGCCCTACACTTGATTATTTATAAGAGCTAAAAGTAGCAGTGAAAAAAAATCACCAAAAATTAATGATGTTACCAATCACCCAAATGTCAAAACTTGTAGATTAAGTATATACTGAAACCTTTGAAAATGAATGTTTTCAAATCTAACGAACAATTATGAATGAGACCAGAAATTCAAAATCAAAAGTAAAATAAAAATTATTACAAAATGCTATTTATTGATATATGGTACACTTTCCTAAAACTACTATTATGTCATACAGCTTTATATGTTAAAGACTTTAAGTACAATCAGGTCAATACTTTTCAGTAGAGCTAGTTACAATATTAATCCTCAAAATAACCTGCAATCTAGGGAAATTATATTCTTTCTTGGAGGAAATTATATTCTTTTTGTCAGAAATGAAAGATTCAATGACACTTTTCCCTACAAGTGTTATATTTACATTTTGACTGGGAACATAATATTGATAGACCACACAGGAAACATCTACAACAAATTCTAAAACATAAATTATTTGATAATTTTGGATATCCTACTTAATGTGTATTTTTGGGTTTAAGATATCTCAAAGACTGAGCTCTTCATTTTCGTCTTAATCTCCTTAGGTGATATTCATGACAGAATGTATGCTTTAGCATTAAAGATAAACAACTAAGATATTGACTAAAAATATACTCATGATTGGAAAAGTTATCTCATCGACTTTACCAATATATAACATTTATTTTAGTTCCTGCAACTACTATTCTTTTCAAGATAAAATCAGTAACCTTCTACCACAGTACTTCTGTTACCTAAACTCTGAGAAGTTAACTGTCTCATATCTTGGGGTTAACAAAAATCACTGAGAGAGAGAGAGAGAGAGAGAGAGAGAGAGAGAGAGAGAGAGAGAGAGAGACAGAGACAGAGACAGACAGACAGAGACAGACAGTGATTCCTCTGTGGAAGATCAATTTGAAAGAGCCAAGATGACCAGTTAAAACGTAGAAAGGCAATGAGCTTTATGACTAGAACAGAGATATAGATTGATAGGAAAGAGATCCTATGATCAACACTTAAAAAGTTATATTGGCAGGAACTCAAGGTTGCTGAGATGTCAGAGAAAAAATTTATTGTTAGAAGTGTATAAGCACTATTCTGAGAGGAAGGAAGCATCAAGCCAGAAGCAGTTTTGAGACAGAAGATGGTTAAGTCAGCTATAAGTGTGTGCCACTTGCTAGCTGACACAAAGAAAGTTGGGCACAAGAGGAAACAATCCTGTGATATATTAGAAGTGTTTTCACTGATATTTATGCATAGTTCAAACTATGAGAATACATAACTGTCACTCAGTTAATGCGCACAGATCAAGATAGCGCTGTGGGATAAAAGAGGAAACTGGAGGAGCTGCAGATATTTAAGGATAGGATAGAGGAGCAAGAGTCCAGAAAAAAGCAGAGAGAAGATATCCAGGGTGATGAGAAGAATCTGGAAGGTGCAATGTCATAAAGCTCAAGCAGTATAGCTTTAAGACAAAGGGAATAATAATAATTTGTAAATGTAACAGAAAAGTCCTAGTACACAAGAATGAAAAATGTCCCCTTATCCCGACTGTTACAACATTAATTAATTTAACAAGAGACACTGTGGTAGAAATACAAGGGTAATAGGTTGTTGTTCTTTAGAAATGAATGAGAGGTAAGCAACTGGAGGTAGCAAGTATAGATAGTGTCTTGAATATGTTGATAAGGGGAGAGGACAGATTGCACATCAGTTAGAGAAAGACAAGAGCCAAATGATTCAGGGTTGGTATTTCTTAATTTTCAATTTTCAGACTGAAGTCTGCTAGTTCCCTTATGTTGAAGGGAAAATACTGCTATATCAGTCTGAAAGTATGACACAGGCAAAGAAAAAAAGGGTGGCGTGTGTGCATGTGTATCTCACATAGCAAGGGGATTTGTGAAGGAAGGTGGCCCTGGGAGAGTATGGACGGTAGGACTGGAAGGGAAGGACCAGCGCATATGGTGTGTGGCCTCACTTTCTGCCTTTGAGGCAGGAAAGTAAAGCAAGCAAGGGAGGAGCAGAATAGGTAAACAGTGAAGCCTGAGACTAATCATAGCATGAAAAGCAAGCAGGAGAAGAGGCGGGTGGCAGAGTTCACTGGTAGTGGGTGCTGAAGCAGCAGAATGACATTGGCACCCAAAACGTTGTAGTAGTATGGATTTCTCAAGCAGCCATCAATGATCCCGGCACAGATTACAGCCTGACCCAGAGACAGGCATCCCCTGCGTAGGTACAATTACAAGCTACAGAAACATGGCAACTGAAAATGTTGGGCAAAGGGCAGTTCAGAAGATATCTAGGGGAAAAAGGAAGATGGCAGATGGGGGAAATATAAACTGGGAAGAAACAGGGAATGAAGATTTGTGAACCTTTTAACAGGTTGGGTATACGAGACTAAAGGAGCTAGATGAAGGGAGCAGATTATGGCATTAAAATCCACGATTTTCAGACTTGACCATTAGCATTGTTCCACAATATGACCAGAAGAGAGGTCATTCTTCAGCTCATCATGGTGACATTTCCTTCACGTTTGACCCATTTGTACACCTCCATCCTTGGGTAATAACTTTGTTGTGTATTGTACGAATGATCCATGAGACGGGAAGTCTCAAACCTCTAAATGGTCCTACAGTTGCTCTCTTGTTTCAATGTGATTGACATCTCTCTAAGGGTAATGCTTCTAACTGTTCTCTGAATCTCATCCTCCCCAACCTTTGCCTGGACTTTGCTCCATCACTTATTCTCTTTTCCATTACTCCTTTATAGCTTAACTTCTTCTGAGAGTAGCTGTTATTAGCTCTCTTCATTTTCCTGCCTCCCTGTCACCCATTGATACACACTCATTGATTCACTCTCAAAGCTCATGGTTTTCTGGGAGATATAGAAAAGCCAATGGGCAATGAGAGGTTAGTAAGATAAGTGATACAACAGCTGTGCCAACTTTCCTATACCTATGCTCACACATATCATAGTGAACTGTACTTTCTATTTCTTTGCATCTATGCATGCTATCTGAGGGCAGGGATGCTATTTTAGTTAAAGAAAATAATACTAGAACACTGTATTTTATGTTTTAACATACACAAGTTTATTTTAAAAATATAGGACTGAATTTACCTGTTGATCTGAATTTGTTTTTAATACAGATCTATCTGTAATTAGGACTGCCCTGGAAATTTGCCTGTAAAACATAAGAGTAAAGCAATAATTTAGAACCCATGGATAAATTTCAGAAGGCATATTTCAAAGATTCAACTTAGGATAAAAGCTACACCCTCAAAAATTAAGCAAAGTCCTGCTTTAATCTTTCTTGATTCACAAAAGACAGATATGTAATTTACAGAAAAACCCTAGCTGATGCAGAATATGTGAAATTATACAAGGCTCCCCTTAAAGTAGACTCCGTAAGAGACAAGTAGTAGATACTGAATGCATCTTTGGTTTGGCATACCTATGCATGAAGTACAGAATGACAAAGAAATGTCAATATAATCACCTTGCTATTTCACCTTCCCTCAGCCAGCAGATGGAGGGGTGTCTTACCTATATTGCACATGTGAGCATGTACTCTCAGAAAAGTAACTGTCTTCCACAAGGAAATGCTTAGAGTTTATTCTCTGACCAAAGTGATCGATGACTGCATTACATCTATAACGAAGACAGACACAGCAAAAGTTACAATAATGAATAAGTAATCAAGAAAATGAACAAAATCAGAGACTGACATTGAGTCAAATAGCCATGAAGATTAAATTGCTAGTAATTTCACATTTTTTGACATAAAACTGGTATTTCTTAACAGAATATATGTTATTGTTGCTGTTTTGACATTTAAAAACTGTAACACGAATATAGGCTATAACTTAAGTATTTACTTTGATTGCCATTAATAACAAAGAGTAAAGATAGGAATAATAATTATAAGTGTAACTAAAATCTTTCCTTGTTTGGGAACATAATGCATTTTCTTTAAGAAAACACTTTCCTTTTTTTCCCCTTTAACAGTTTTAAGAAAATAGAGAGAAAAGTCGAATATCTTGTGATATCATTCACAGCTTATAAAAGCCACTAACGGCCTTCTCTTTTCCTGTTAAATGTTGCTTTCCTTCTGGCTGAAGAATAGCTTTCTGCTCATGTATTTGATAATGTTTTAAACAGGAAAAAAGGGATAAAGCTTCTTTTAACATCTATTTCTACTCCACTTCAAAGGATGATCATAGAAAGACTTCTTTCAAGTGCCGTTTCCAAATAAGGAAAACACTTAATGTACGAACATTATCAGGTCTCTGTCATCCGATATGTATTCAGACAATGAATCATATAGAACCCTCCATTGACCTTCTTTCAACGTGTCTAGATAAAAGGATGGAAATTAGAACCCATCTCCTTGCAGTGCCACAAGTTATAAATGTACTTTATAGGGCTCATTATCCAAACTAATGGACTAAGGGTGACATCCTTGAAATGGACTTCAAAGCAAGTATGTTATATTTCAGGAACTATATGCAAATGACTGTTTGCTACACCTTTTTATTATGGAAATATCAACTTACTTTTGTTACAGCTTCTTTTGTAACCAGAATTACTTTATTAGAAAAATACTGCTCTGCATAAAATATAAATAACTTCAAACTCAAATTTAAAATATATAGGTGTCAGTTAAAGCATGTTGAATTGTTAAAATAAGCAAAATACCTGATATTTATTATTCATAAATGTATTAAAAATAAAAAAATACTCAAAATCGATAGTCATAGGAATTTGATTAATTTGTACTTCCTAAAGACAGATTATGCTTTTGTTAGTATCTTGGAATAAATGACATAACACTGTTTTCAAGACAGAAATGATCTCTAGTGGGATTATGTGTGTATAATGTACATTTTAACCCGACTTTATATAACATTTGTCATATGAGTATAAAAATGATTCTCCCATCTCATTTTACTTCTTTTCCTTCGCCTCCGATACCGCCTCACATTTCACTATATTGTAGTTTTGGTCTTACAAAATACTTAACTAGATAAATGGTACTTATGCTTAGACATTTTTCAGAATAATTGTTTCATAACTAAAAAATTTCTCTTTCAGTCTGTGTTTTAAAGTATCTATAAGCAATTTGAAAAACACAGTTCTTGAAAGAATGGTGATGACAAATGTATTGATCTACTATTACACATTGATCTCTGTGTCCTGTAAGCATTGACTAACCTTTTCCTTACCTTTTACTGAGAGACTACAGACAATCAAGAAAAAATAATGCATGTAGAAGATGGGGGTGTAAAATGTCCTATGTCTTGAAAAAGATTTTGGTTATGTATATTTATCATTTATCAGCTAATGAGCAAGTAAGATTTGGACACTTATCTGTAAATATTACATTTAAAAAAACACTAGAAAATAATTAGTGAAATGCATAGTGAAGTGTTTAAGGAGAACTTTATAAATATGTACAATATACTGTGAAATGCATAAAAAGGTAAACAGAAGTTTGGGCATGGTGGTGAATGTCTATAATCTCAGTGTTCTTAGAGGCTGAAGCAGAAAGATAGAGAGTTTGAGCCCATCCTGGACAATTTATTGACTTAGTGCGACTCTGTCAGAAAATTAAAAAAAAAAAAAAAAGCTAGGGATGAAGCTCAGTGTGAAGGCTCTGGATTTAAACCCTAGAACTAGAAAAAAAAGGGGGGGGAATTAATATTTGGGTAGATGTGTGATTAAGCTATTATATTAAAATATTAACTGTGTAGTCTTGGTTGTAGGTATGTAGTTGTTCACTTTATTTTTATTTTTTATTTTTTTGCATTTTTTAGGACAAGGTGTACAGGGTCTCACTGTGTAAATCAGACTTATAGTGATCCTCCTGTTTACAGCCTCCCAAGTGCTGGGATTACAGGTACGTGCCACTATGCCCAGTTTCAATCGTATCTCAGTGCACCCCGAAGGCGGGCCCAGCACTGCAGGTCTAAGGATTGAACTTCAGGCCCCTACATCTGCCTAAGCAGGTGCTTTAATCTGCTGAGCATCTTTGGCATAGTTTTTAAATTTTTCATCATAAAGTGTTGCAATAAAAGTGAGGAGTACTATTAAATTCTAGAATAAATTTTAAAAAATTTGAAAGAGTTCTCATTCAAGTAACTTAAGAGTCCACACAATTAAACTTGGCTTTCAAACTTGTGGAGATCTCCTTGCTTTATAGGTTTCTAAACACTAATAGGGCTAATTAAGTGGTAGCTATCCCTTTGTTGACAGAGAGATATTGGTTTCAGAAGTTATAGTATTAGAAGGAATTAATGGAGATCATTCAAAGAGGAAATCTGGAGCTATGAGAATTAAAGAGCTTAACTATGGAAAGACAACATATTAGCACATGTGTTTATGTTGAAGCTTCTGATGAAGAAGTGATTCTCAAAGGAGGAGGAGAAGGAAGCAAATCAGAACCACACCTGGGGGACTTTCTTAAATTATAAGTACCCCTGGAGATTCTGATAAGCTTCCAAATCCCAGGCAAGAATCACTGTCAAACATGCCACTGCTACTGCTGCACCTTTTTGTTGTGCTAGGTAAAGAAAAGTAAGCAGCTACCGGTATAAAGAAAATATCTATTTATGTAGAGATAGATGTGACAGTCACATATATCCAGTATCAGTATGACAGATGAAGATAACACAACTCACCTGTTAGTCTCACTCTTACTCTGAAGTACTGAAGCTCTAGACCTAAGCCAGTGGTGGCGAACCTATGGTACACATGTTGCAGAATGCTCTAAAGGTTTGCCATCACTGATAAGCAATGCTATTTAAACCAAGACATGATTAAGCAAATGGTAAGATTTGTTTTTCCCTTAGATACTTGAGTTACCGTCAAATATTCAGTCTAATTGGGAGTATGTAATAAAGAAAGGAACACTGATTTGGGACTTAACCTTAATATTTGTATTATAAAGATTAATAGAAAAATTAGATAACATTTGAGTAAAGGGAAGCAGTATAACAAAAAGCATTGCCAAAACCAATAAAATAGCCTGCTACCCACACCTTCTGTATGAACCTGAGGAGGCCATTAAAGATTAAAAACACTTAGAATTTAGTTGAGTGCTTCACTGAGACCCATAAATAGTAATGTGAAGAAGAACATGATAAAGAGTTTCCTGTTACAGGGACACAATGGCCAAGTTGATCATAAGAATCACTGAAGCCAGACAGAATATTTCACAGGCAAAGTTTTCTAAAGCAACAAATCACAGTATTAATTTGGTTCAGTGAAATTAAGGTATAAATACAAAAATGCCAATAAGAAAATACCGAGCAAGACAAAACTCAGGATCTTGAAGTTGGCCCAGAAGAGAATAGCATTATCATAGGTATTCGATCATTACAATATCTAGAATATGACAATTAATTATACAGTATAGAAGGTAGAATTCATAGGTTGAACAATTAAAAAGAAAAGTATTAAGATTCATAACCATTGAAGGAAACAGATAATTTTTCCTATTCAATATGCCTTTTTGAGTTTCCTCAAAAACATTATTTCAAATGTCATCTCCTTTCTAAAGCCATCTCAAAGTGCTACCCATGTTTTTTTTGGCATTGTCCAGGTGATGTTATTTTTAGGTATATAGAATGCAAGAGTATGAGCTAACTGAGGTTCTCACTCAGATTTCAGAGGAAGGTCTGGAAGAACAGCGTGCACCGGTAGGTGGGTACATGAAGCTGTGGGATAAGCCAAAGTTGGAGTGGATACCTCACCAAGTGAGAAATGGCAGGAATATGGAATATCATTTGAAAAAAGCCATAGGTAGTAAGAGGAGCCAGTCCAAGAGAAGTCACGTGGGTACAACCACCAAGGCCAGGGGGAAGGGCTGCCCAAACCCTTTGAAATTCACATTGCATTACTAGATGCTATACATGGTGCTCTAGGATTTAATATATAATCTTCTGAGTTTCTGATCTTGCTATGTTCCTATTCGTTTCTATCCTATTATACCTTGTTCTGAACTAAAAATGTTTAAACCGTACCATTGTATATTTTGCATTTTGAATTGTATAGAGGTTCAGAGCTAAGAGTTTACCTTGATTTTCAGAGAAGACTAACTCTTTAACAATCGTGGAATGACAGACTTTGGAAAGGGCACTATTGTATTCTCAGTTGTACTTAGGGTATTTTTATCATGTTAGGGGAAATTATAAACTTGTTTTTATTTGGAGATTAAGTACAGTTTAAAGAGGTGTTTGGATGTCAAATTGACAAATGTTTGAATGTGATGGGTAAGCTTCATTATTAATTTGAAAGGTTTGGGAGTTGCCTAGGGGATTACTGAAGCACACTTCTGTCTGTTTCTCAATATGTCATGAAGGCCTGACCTTTGTACTCTGTCTGGTGTCTGGCCCCTTCCTCTCTGGTGCAGTTCTCCAGCTCCAATTTCTAGCAGACATGAACTAAGCAGTGTTGCTTCACCACACACTTCTGCCCTAATATTTCTTCCTAGCAGTAAGTATGCTATGGACTGAAACCTCTGATTCCATATGGAAAATGAAGCTGTCCTCCTTTTAAGCCATTGTGCATACCAGGAATTGGGAACAGGGATGGAAAATCTGGCCTATACAAGCATAACCGGACAATGAAATGGGAAGTGATGAGGGAAAAGTCTTGAGAGGCAGGTAGGAGCAGATCCCATCTCACATGTGAAAAAAGATTTTAGACATTATTCTGAGGTTGTGTAAACTTGCTGAAGCTCTTTAAATAGCAAAGAGGAAAGCAATAACTGCAGGCTGTAGAGATATCACTGTATAATTACTTGTTTACATGTTTATTTTGTAATATTCTCCTATAGAATATAAGCCTCAAGAGCAAGAGCATGGTTGCCTCATTTTCTTTGTATCCCCAGTGCCCTCAGGAAATAATGAATAGTTCTTACACGACATAAGTGAATGGATGGATTATGGAAGTACTCCATGCCTGTGAACAATATAAAAACAAAAACCAAAAAACTGATTTAGGAGGTAAGGAGTCTCTTTGCATATGTGTTTCTTCTAAAGCACTGCCAAGATACTAATTTCAAAGCAGCGAATTTAATCTTGTTCAAAACTATAACTGATTATACTTCACTCCTTAGCATAGCAGAAAAGCATCTTCACAATAGTTCTTCTTATATGTGATGCAATGTCTCCAATTATATTAATGATTGCTACTAACATGTATTGAGGTCCTGAGATGAATAACAAAGAGTTTTCTGAGATTTATGTGTTCAAATAATATTAATAATAAACAAACAAGGTAGATCCTACTAAGTGTTCCACTTTCCAGATAATGAAACTACAGCACAGAGAAGCCAAACAGCTTGTTTAAGTTCACATAGCTAGGAAGTCACAAAGTCTGGATGTAAATCCGGTCTACTTGACTTTATAGCCTGAATTCTTCACTACCTTTTCTGCACGAAGAGCAAGGTCCATGGTTTATTTACACACTTATCCTCATAGTGATGGGGGCTGTCATACTCACTACTATTCTGCAAAAGGAATGTGTTAAATTAGAGCTTAAGCAAAGACAAATGTTTTCAAGAATCAGCCACCTGTTCAGCCTAAGCGTATCACTCACTATTAACATCTAAATATCTAGGTATAATTTTTCTGGACATCAGAAAAGACGCCTTCAAAAAGCTGGTATTGCAAGATATTCAGGAAGTGAAACATCTGAAGTCTATAAGGAACACTAGATGAAATAACAGACTACTAATTAGAGATATATGTGGTGTAAGGTCACATCTACCTTACCCAAATATCAAATACTGCATTGCTAAACAGTCAATTTTAATTTACAGTTTTACCCAGTTAGCATAGATGTGAAGGAAAAGGAAGCTCTTCAAAAATAGCATTCAGAAATTTCAGAAATAGTCCACAGAGGTCCAGTATTATAATTTAGAAAAAAACAGATATATACCTACATCTTCTCAAATGAAGCAGTGCCAAACAATGACATAACAAAGAGAGCACAGGCAGTGTGGGTCTCAGGAAAAATGAAATAAATCAAAATGAATCACCTTATAATCTATCACAACATAGGTGTGCATTGATTTACACATTTCATATACTTTTACTTCATGTACTTATTTACATGTCTTATTCTCTCCAACTCTGTATTGTACATTGCTATGTATTTACCACAATAAACATAATGCTATAAACATTTATGTTTCTACCAGCTTTTCTAAATGTAAGATGAAAAAGAAAGCACACAAAAGCTATAAAATGTCAGTAATTTTCATTTGTTCATTTAAGTCAAAGTTACTGAGTATAATGGCGCTAGGAACCTGCCTTGGTTCTGGAGATGCTATACTAATGTCCTTCCTTCACTTACAGAGAACTCACCAAGGAAGTATACAAGGAGATATGATCAAAGTTCAAAGAGAGGATTCTGTTCTAGACTATGGGATCAGATATTAAACTTAGAAACCTGACCTGAAGTATGAGGAGCCCTTAACCAAAGGAAAGAAGGCTCAAGAAAGAAAAATACCTATTTTTTTTTAGACAGGGTCTCATTACGTAGCTTAAGTTAGCCTTGAACTCATGCAGATCCTCTTGCCTCAATCTCCCAAGGGCTGGAATTACAAGCATATGTCACCATGCCTATTGAAGATTATCAAGTGTGTGATAGTTATTTACACTGAGGCATACGAAATATTTCAGGGTTATGTGTAAATATTAAGAAAAAGCTAAGTAATTTCTATGTATTTTAAATAAATTGAAGCATGTCAGATCTGGAAGGAAACTACAAGTTTCCTCCAATTACCTCAGTCTGTCTAGTTCTTGTTGCAATATAGTAACTGGTTCAGAGAAAAAGGCTTTTCAACTGTTATTTATGGTAGTGATAAAAATTCTAACTCTTCTCTTATTCTAGGGCCAATAGACCTTACTGTACATGTTAGGTGTTATATACCAAATGTTTCATTTCAAGTATTTCTATAAAGATATAAAGGATGTCAAATTAGGAGCATTTTGCCTGCTATATATAATTAAAATTTGATTGCTAGTCTGTATTTGCAGGTTTATCTTGATAAAGCACTGGAAGGAATTAAGACCTAGAGCACCCAGTGCATTACAGAACAGCTCTCTTGGCTAAATTTACCTTATATCCCAGCGTTTTACAGTGTCATTTATATTAGACTTTTTTTGTGGTGTTCCTTAAAAAAAATTTCCTGGCAGTACCCTACATGTATTATAAAACTTCACTCTCTAAGGATAAGGCACAGCAATTTGTCATCTCTATAAGCTTATTTGATAATTCTTAGGCACATTAAAATTTGAAAACTACCAATCTGGCAGATTCTTTGATTTCTAGATCTTTAGCCTTTAACTACCAGGTGCAACTGAAATCTGCACAAATCATAGAGAAGAGTTCTGCTGTGCAAAATATATCATAAAAACTCTGTCAAAACTAAGTTAAATGTGCCCTTTAGTTTAATAAATTATGTCACTGTATTACCCTAAACATTTTTTTAAAAAGTAACAGAGCCATGCAAAGATTTCATCACTGAAAATAAAATGTGGGACTGGAATAAGGACCCCAAAGGTTAAAACAGTCTAAGCAAATAAGCATCAAACATCCTTTCTGACATGACAGCATTTTATTGATTAAAATGAATTTATAAGGAAAAATAAATCTGGGTATCATAAAGACAACCAACCACTCCTTCAAGAACTTCCACTGAGCTTTTTATAAACCAAGGTATGAATATCCTGGGCCTTTAGGGACATACTTTTCACTGCAGATTATCAGGTTTCATACATGTAGTCCCTTTCTCTTAGAGTGCTAACAATACTTTACAAGTCATTTAAATCATGTTATTTTACTTAACTGAAGTGCTGCATGTTTCTAGAAGTGAGATTTTTAGCTATACTTCAAAATACTAATTTATTACAATATAACTAGTTTATGAAAAGTTAATACCTATTTATGTCATTTAGACTATACCAAATTATTATAAAATTAATAGAAAAGCTTAAAATATATACTGATTGAGATTCTAGTTTAAAATAGTAAGGTACTTTATTTTTGTTCATATACTCCTAAAATAGTCACATAAGAAAGATAGGCTAGGAGATGCTTCAGGATATGTAACCTGAAAGAAAAATACATAATTTCAACAGATCCAGCTGATCCACTTCAGTTTCAGGCAAGCACTTATTCCACTGAGCTATCTCCCCAGGCCCCCACTTAAGTTTCAATGTAAACTTAGAAATGGTAGAATCTTATCTTCTTTAATATAATTTTATTTAAGGTGGGTATTTTATTAATAATAAATCCTAAGAAAAATAATTGAAATATAAAAATATACAGATAAGTAGAGTAAGTATTCATCTTTGCTTTAAAAAGAAAGTAATTTCTTATTTCAATCCAAAACCAGCCTTAGCCTGGACACTAGTATAAAAGAAATTATCCTCAGACAACAGGGCAGCATAGTTTATTATAACAATGTTCCTAAAACCTCATTAAAGTCTTTTCTCTTGGAGTGACATGCATTATCAGTAGAGATTAATCTGGTGAGTCTTTAGGTGAGCTTCATTTTAAAAAATGCAGTAACAGAGGGCTTTGTTATCATCCGATGAAAATCAATTAGAGGAGGTAAGGCCACAAGGAAAACTAACATCACTCATGATGCACCCTGGGCAGCTGAAATGATTTGTCTTCCAAGCTTCGATGATCAGAAACTATTGTATAGTCATATTGCAGGAAAATTAATTCAGTTTCTATATTCTGAACTCCCTTTCTTTGTTCTAGAGGACCTAAACACAAATTATTTTTAATCAAGGTTGATACGTTATTAATACCAAGGAGGATCTTTCAAGAATCATATTTTTTAAAAATTGACTTTAGTATTTTTCACCTGGGTTTAGGGGCATAAATACGGGAAGATTACTTATATCATCCTTACTTTCCAGATTCTTTGTCCACTACAAGGCACTGTATAGAATGGCGAAGACAATAGATTCCTCCAAAGACAGCACACATCCTAGAAAGAGATTAGAAAAATGGGAATTAGGATGATTGGGTTGAAGTTTAGGGTAACATTTTAAGAATTTTACATTTAACATTAGTAATCATTATTACAGATAAAACATTTGACAGTTTGTAATTTTCTCTATGATGGTATTAAGAATTTCAGAGGTAAATGAGCACAATTGTGATACATCACAGTTGATATTAGTAACAATAATACAACAGTGAAATCTAGAATTTGGATAAAGTCACAAATGTCCCTAAGTAAGGCTCAAATATCGTATCAAAATGAGCACCTACACACCTAAGGTACATAAACCACAAATATTCTCATAAGTTGATGCATGAATCACACAATAGATATCACCAGAGAGAAGTATTAGGAAAAGATCCACCAGGAAAGACTTCAAGAGACTGGAAAGTTTAACTGTCATAAAAGTAGAGCATATGAGTTGATGAATCAGAAGCTCCAAAGAGTTTGTCTAAGCAATCTTAAGTACATGGGTATTAATGTCCCTGTAGGGAGAAGAGAGGCTTTACAATCTAAACAACGCAAAAGCAGAAAAAAAAAATACTCTCTCACAACACCTGGATTCTTAAGGGGCTGAAGCTAAAGGACGATCTACAAAACAAATCTACTTACTAATAGAGGCAAAAAATAAAACTCTTTTATCTTTTAGTTTAACCTCACACAGGCTGGGGGATTTGTAATACATTACTACATAATACAATTCACTGCAATCCAACCAATAAAATATGAAAAGTGGGCTCCGTGTCAGTGACAACTGTGGTGTAGTGATAAAAGCAATAAATAAAGCTTTCTGGTAGGATGTGATTACAATGAAGGTCTTGGAAAACCATCAAAGACAATTATCTGATGATGAATTTAGAAACTAAAATTATATATTGCATGACAAAAATTGTCACACTTGAGTAATAATTAGTAGACACAATAAACAACAGAATTTAAGTGCTCAAAACTGTACTCAGGTAGACCTACATAGAGATTATGAATATGCTTTAAATGGATTAATCAAATAATGGAATTTCCAAAGCTGAAAATGTAATGTTCATGATATCCACACCCTACTCCTTGAAACTTGTAAATTATGTTATCTAATGTAGAAGAATGATTTTATAGAAGTGTTTAAATAATGATCTTGAGGGTGAATGTGTAGGAGAGCTTTCGGCTACCATGCACCAGCAGGACCTGCCAGTCCCAGCCCAGGCGCAGCATGGGTGAGATACTCTTCCATACCTTTGGGACACCCCTCACCACTCCTCAGCAACCCCCAACCTGCTGGCCCTGCAGGAATTTCTGCGGCATTCCAGGAAACCCCAGATCCAGTCCAAGCCCAGGCATGGTGATTGTGTGGGAGAGCTCCCACCTATCCTGCGCCAGCGGGATCTGCCAGACCCAGCCCAGGTGCAGCATGAGAGAGACCTTCTTTCATGCCCTTGGGAAGCCCCCCCCCCCATACTCTGCAGCATTCCCCACCCTTCCTGCCTGGTGCGAATTTCTGCTGCTTTCTGGGGACCCCCAGTTCTAGTCCTAGCCGAGGCCTGGTGAGTGTGTGGGAAAGCTGCCTCTCCTCCCTACTCCACATTTTCTCCACCAGACTCAGGTCAGCCCTGGCATACAGGTCTGACGTGAAACCCTGCAGCTGCAATCCCTGCAGAGATTATAGAGGACAGAACCGCACAGGTAATCCGGGAGCAGAACATCTTGCCAGAGGGGAACAACAGGTTCATTCCCAAGGGCAGCAGCAGCCAGAGATTTATTCCTGAGGACAGCAGCCAGACCCAAGCCAGACCCAACTGGATAAATCCAAACTTCTTAGATCTGCACCTGAACTTCAGTTGGTGCTAAAGTTATAACTGCAACAAAACTCTACAACAAAGGTCACAAGACAGTGCTACACAAAATGACAAAGAGAAGGAGCAAAATGAAATCTCAGAACACAAGCCCACCTATAAAAAGTGCAGAGGACACTAATACAGAAAAAATGGAATCAAACAGCTGAAATTAATGAATCAATGGCTTCTGAAATAAAGAAACAGCTGCAAAAAGATACAGAGGAACTCAGATTGGAAATAAAAAAAGAAATCCCTGAAGTACTAACACCTGTAGTAAAGAATCAAATGCAGAAACATGGAGGAAAACCAGTGCCGACCCAGAACAACTGCAGAGGACACTAGTTCAGCACAACTGGATTAATTAATTCCATCCATAGTAAATAAGCAACAGCAGAAAGTCAGAGAGGAACTCAGAGTGCAATTCTTTTCTACTAGCTCAGCTCAAATGTATGAATTAATTGTGTCCATGGTAAATAAGCAACAACAGAAAGTTACAGAGGCATTCAGAGTGGAATTTTCTGAAATAAGAAAATAATTCTCAGAACTCATAGCATCTGAAGAAAAGAATCAACTACAGAAACATAAAGAGGAAACACAATCGGAAGAAAACAACTCAGTAAAAGAATTAATAACTGCTTCTAAAGAAGACATCGACAAAAAAATACAGGAGACTAGAAAAACGACGGATTCCTTGAATGAACAATACAGGAAAGAAATAGATCGCATGAAGCAGAGTCAAAGAGATATAGAGGAAATTAAACTCTCAATCACAAGTTTACAAAACTGTTTCAGTGAAAGTCAGGACAGAGTTTCTGATCATGAAGAGGCTGGTGCAGCTAGTGAAAAGGTAAGAAAGGATCTCTTAAAAACAACTAGGATGCAGGAAAGAATAATGTATATCCTGAAAGATGATGCATACATGAACAACATGAGACAAATAGGCATCAATGAGAAAGCAGGAGTGAATATAAAGGACCTTAAAAAATATGGGCAGAAGTAATGGCAGAAAACTGCCCAAATATGAGGAAACAATCTGACATTCAGGTAATAGAAGACTAAAGAACTCCAAGTAACCTCAACCCAATTAAAAACATACCGAGACATATAAAAGTCAAGCTCCCAGAAATTCAGCACAAGAATAATATACTGAAGATGCTAGAGAAAAGAAGCAGATCACATTCAAAGGAAAAGCCCATCAGAATTACGGCCGACTTCTCTTCACAAACCAAGAGGCAAAAAGAGCATGGAGCAGAGTACTTCAAGTCCTCTATGAAAACAAATTCCAGCCCAGACTACTATACCCTGCAAAACTCTCTTTTAAGTTTCATGGAGAAGTGAAAAACTTCCATGACATAAAACAACTAAAGAATTTTATGATGACAAAGCCAACACGACACAGGCTACTGAAAGATGTTCTAGAGAGAGAACAAAATAACCAGAACTCCATGAATGAGATCAGGAGCAACCAACTAAATAGGGCAAGCAATTAAACTCAGGAGAAAAAAGAGTAAACAACAACAGGTAAATAACATGTCAACTGTAAGTCAATATATCTCAATTATAACCATCAATGTAAATGGACTCAATTCACCAATTAAGAGAAATAGACTTGCATAGTGGATTAGGAAACAAAATCCAACAATATGCTGTATACAAGAAACACATCTAACTCATAAAGACATTCATAGGCTGAACGTCAAAGGATGGAATACAGTATTACATGCCCCAGCACCTCAGAAAAAAGCAGGGGTAGCATTGCTATTCTCAGTCTCAACTTCAAACCAACCATGATCAAGTGAAATAAAGAAGGCCACTATATACTGGTGAGGGGAAAAATTGAAGAGGAAGAGGTAACACTCATAAATATGTATGTACCAAACATGGGACCACCCAACTGTATAAGCAAATCTTAATGGACATGAAAAATCTAATATCCAACACCACAAATTTACAGGATACCTTAATACCCCTTATCCCAAAAGGATAGGTCAAACAGAAAAAAATTAGCAACGAAATAACATAAATGAACGAGAGTTTGAAACAAATGAACTTGGTGGGCATATACTAAGTATTCCACCCAAACACAGCTGAATACACATTTTTCTCAGCTGCACATGGGTGGTTTTCTAAAATAGACCACATACTGGCCTATAGGTCATGCTTAAGTATATGCAAGACAACAGAAATTATCACATGCATATTATCCACCACAGTGCAATGCACTGGAAATAAATGACCAAGGAAATGAGAAAAGCCCCCTAAATAGATGGAAATTAAGTGACACCCTCCTCAGGAAGCAATGGGTCACAGATGAAATAAAACAAGAATTTCAACAATATCTGCAATTCAATGAAAATTCATGCACAACTTATTGGAATTTATGCGATATGATGAAAGCAGTTCTCAGAGGGAAATTCATAGCTGTGAACTCACACATTAGGAAAACAGAACGGGAACAAATGAATACCCTAATGCTTCACCTTCAACAACTAGAAAAGGAAGAGCAAACCAAACACAGAGCCCAAAGATAGGAGAAAATAATAAAGATTAGAGCAGAAATTAATTCAATTCAGACGAAGAAAACAATTCAAAGAATTAACAAAGCAAAAAGCTGATTCTTTGAAAGATTAAATAAAATTGATAAGCCCCTGGCTAAACTATCAAAAAGAAAGAAAAAAATTCAAATACAAGCAATAAGGAATGAAAAGGGTGTAATTATCACAGACACGGTGAAAATTCAGAAGATTATCAATAGCTACTTCGAGAATCTTTACTCTCACAGAATAGAAGACACAGAAGGAATGGACTGACTCCTAGAAAAGTACAAATTACACCAACTGAATAGACAAGATATAACCACTCTCAATAGTCCAACAACAGTCAAAGAAATATGAGATGTAATAAAAAAAAAACCTACCAACAATGAAAAGTCTAGGTCCGGATGGATTCACAGCTGAATTCTACAAGAAATTTACAGAGAATGTAGTCCCTATACTCCTCAAAATCTTTCATGAAATTGAAAAGGAAGCAATCCTCCCAAAAGCATTCCTGGAGGCAAGTATTATACTGATACCTAAACCAGGGAAAGACGCAACTAAGTAAGAGAAGTACAGGACAATCTCATGAACATGGATGCCAAAATCCTCAATAAAATCC